TTTGTGTTAAGTGTTGCCTTGCACACTGATCCTTGGTTTTAAACTGTAAAAATTCTATTTATACTTTCTCATAGCAGAAATATGGGTGAAGGAGGGGTGGGGCAAGGATAGGTCCTACCAGGTCCCCTCTCCTGATGGATCAGCGTGCTGAAGAACTACCCCAGGAAGTGCCTTGGCTATGAGGACACTTGCTCAGGGCTCCACCAGTGGCAAAATATATGCTGAGCCAGCATCATTTGCATAACACTGCCATTACTGCCTCTTTCCTGGTAAAGATGACAGGGGCCTGGGAAGCGGTCCTAGCTTCAGTCCTTCTAGCCCCCAGTGTGGACTGAACAGCTTTCTTTGTTCAGCCAACTTACTAGCTCTGTGGCTCTGGTCAAGTCTCTCAGCCTCTCTGTGTCTCAGTGTGCTTTACAAAATGAGCACAACCACAGTGAGCCCTTCCAGCGTTGTGGAGAGAGGCATGTATGAGTTAATACATGTAACATGCTTAGGTCATTGCCTGGAGGATAGTAAGCACTTATTTGTTATTGTCATCATCATCGCCATCATCATCATTTTTTCTTTCTGTCTGGCCCTGGGCAGGGTTCAGTGACACATAGATAAGTCAGCCTCAGTCCCTAGCCTTGGCCATGTTCATGATCTAGTGGAAAAGACACATCGTGGGTGTGTCAGACCCTCTGCTGAGTGCTGGGCACAGATCCGAAGGTGAATAGGAGTGGTGGCTTCTGGAGGTGCCCTACCTTGAAGAAGAGGAGTCTGGTACAAGGCAGAGTTGACTAATGCTCAGGAGAGTGATGTGCTGAGGGATGGGGTAGGGGTGTAATCTGGGCCTCCCCACATCCCATTTTTCCTTAAAGCTGTTTCCTGCCAGCTGTTTCCCATGTGGGCCATGGCCCCTTGCCTTTGTACCTTTGCATGTTGTTCCCTCTGCCCTTCCTACTCACTCCCTGCCTCCCCTCCTTCAGGAAACTTCCCCGACTGACTCTGGTCTGATTTGGCCCCTGGTTCCCAACATCCCCCAGGTCTACCTTGAAATTCTTTGAGGGAAGGGCTGCAACTTGTTCACCACAGTATCCCAGTGCCAGCATACAATTGGTGCTCAATTAATGTAGGAATGTAAGAGAGGGAATGTGTTTCAGTCAGAACTGTGTTCAGATACAAATGCCAAAACTTCTGATCATAGAGTATTAAATAAAATGAGGTTCATTTTTCTCAAATAACAAAAACTCAGGCAGCTGCTGGCAAGGGCTTGGTAGTCAACAACAGCTCTATATTTGCTTTGGCTTTTCCTCTAGGTCACAAAATGGCCCCTGTAGCTCCTGCCATTACATTAGTGTTCAGGGGAGGAAGGAGAGACAAGGCACAGCACCGGCCCTGCTGCCCTCCTCTGTCAGGAGAAGCGGAACTATTCCCAAACCCTGACAAATTTCTGCTAACTTTTCACTAGCTGAAAATGGGTCACATGGCCACCCCCAGCTACAAGAAAGGCCAGAAAAACAAGTATCTAACTGGAGCTGGAAGAACGAATTGCAGCTTTGTCACCAGGAAGGAGTCCAAGGGTGGCGGGTGGAGAAGAGCTAATGGAGTGCGGGTCAGGAAGGAGGGTGCTGGTTAGGCAACAAGCACAGGCCTTCATGAAGACAGTGTCATTTGAATTGTGCCTACCAGGTCAGATACAATTGTGACAATAGGAAAAATAGCCTGGATGGAAGTCCGGAGACCTGAGAATGCTGTGTGTGGCCAGGGACTGCCCAGTGATCTAGACAGGTAGGGTGGGAAAGAGAGAGGACCAGTTGGGTGAACTTCTGGTGTACTTGGCATCAGCCAGAAGCTCTCCTTCCCCAATATGTGCTGTAAATCCCTTCCTCCACTCTACCTGAAATTCCACCATTAGAGGTAATCTCAGCCAGGAAATATGTACTAGGCATCTGCTCTGTACAAAGAGTTCTTTTCAAAACATAGATATGCCCTGGAGGCTTATGGTTATCAGTCATTCATACCTGAATATTAATCAGTTTCCTTTGCTAGTGACTACCTAATGCCTAGCTGAAATCTGCCTTGCAAAATGGGAATTTTTATTCTAGAAAGAGGGTAATAGGAGATGGGGGATAAGCAGGGCTGGACCTGGACACCAAATGTCTGAGGGTAATAGGAGGCCTGGAAAAAAGACAAAACTCACATTTTCCAAGGCTGCTAAGGGCAGGCACTGGCCCTCTTTCCTCCCTAACCCTCTGCCATCACTAGTTCACAATGGTGATAAAAAGAGCTTAGAGATGGGGACTGCCCCATCCAAAGTCCTCCCATGCACAGGTGACAGAGTGGGGTTGGACCCTGGTCAGTCTGACCCCCAAGCACACGCTCTTGCCGCTGCACAGATTCTGTCTCTTTGCTCCCACCCTGCCCCAGGTCTTAATAATGGCCATCATCTCAGCTGGCATTTGTTCAACACTTGCTCTGTACCAAGCATTGTTTTAAGTGCTTCATGTGTTTTAATTCACGCTGTTTTCACAACAATACTAGGAGGTAAGCACTAATATTGTCTCCATTTTACAGATGAGGAAGCTGAGGCACAGCAAGAGGTTCAGTAACATGCTCACTCCCATAGCTGGAAGTGGCAGATAGGATTCTAACCCAGCTGGTCTGACTCTGAGACATCAGGGAAAGATACTGCCTTGTGAGGGTCTTGTGGTGGGTTAAGACTAGATTCTCTGCTAAAACAAAACAACCCAAACTCATAGGTGCAGAGAACAGATAGGTGGTTGCCAGGGGGTGGGGGGTAGGCAAAAATGGATGAAGGGGTCCAAAGGTACACACTTCCAGTTATAAAATAAGTCAGTCCTGGGGATATAAAGTACAGCATGGTGACTGCCATTGTGTATTTGAAAGTTGCTAAGAGAAGGATCTTAAAAATGATCATCAAAGAAAAAATGTTTTGTAACTATGTGTGGCAATTGATGGATGTTAGCTAGACTTATTATGGTGATCATTTTGCAATGTATACAAATACCAAATTATTATGTTGCGTACATGAAACAAATATGTTATGTGCCAGTTATGCCTTTGTGTCTGTTTTACACACATGCACGCACACACACACACACACACACACACAGTTCTGGGGATCAAAGTCCAAAATCAGGGCTGAGCTCCCTCCAGTGAATCTGGAAGAGAATCCGTTGCCGGCCTTCTCCATCTGCTGGAGCTGCATTCCTTGCATTCTTTGGCTCTCGGCCTTTTCTTCCATCTTCAAAGCCAGCAGGGGAACATCTTGCTTCAATCATATTGCCTACTTTTCTGTCTGTCAAGAAAACATTTTAACAATATAAAAATTTTTTATAACCAGTACATTGTCTAGACCAGTGGTGCTCAAGTGGGTGTGATCTTTGTCCCCGGGGGACATTCCACATCCATTCCAAGGAGGCCCAACTCCACGGTGGCCTTGGAGCACTTTCCCGTCTCAGACCAGCATTTTGGGTCACATTAACTAGAGCATGGGTTCTGGGTCTGAACTTGTGCGGGTCATTTCATGTCTTTGAGTGTCAGTTCTCTCCTCTGTAAAATGGGAATAATAGAACTTACCTTGCAGGGTTATCGTGAGGGTCACATGAGGCAATCTTTTGGGAAATTTTTTTTTTCTAGAAACTGCAGTTCAGCTATGAGGGGTACTTAATCACTTCCTGTCTGACTGGTTTGTGATCGAGCTCAGCTGGAATTATAGACACATAGCCCTTTGGAAAATCATTAAGTGCTATACTGATGTAAGGTGGCATGTTACATTTTTAAGTAATGAAAAATTACTGGTTATTTTATTATAACAATAACAAAGTAAAAATAAGAAACTAAAAACAGGCATAATACCACCACTTATGGTGATGATTTTGCAATGCATACAAATCCCAAATCATTATGTTACATACATGAAACTACTATAATGTTATACACCAATTATACCTTTGTGTATGTTTTAAACACACACACAGTGTGTGAGAACCACTCACTGTGTTTTGATAGAGTTCAAAACCTCGGTCTGTGATTTGATACAGCTCCAGCGACTATTGTTTCCTTGGACCACCACCGATGCCCTCCAACTACCCCCAAAATTATTTTAAAGCAAGTCTCAGACATTATATAATTTTATCAAATGAATACAACCTTGATATAAATATCACACCTAAGCCCTGACTGGTGTGACCCTGTTGGTTGGGCATTGTCCCACAAAGCAAAGGGTCACAGGTGTGATCCCTGGTCAGGGCACAGGCCTGGGCTGCAGGCCGGGTCCCCTGTTGGGGAACATGTGAGAGGCAACTGATCGATGTTTCTCTCCCTCTCTTTCTCCCTCCCTTCCCCTCTCTCTAAGAATAAATAAATGAAGTATTTTAAATTAAAAAAATCACACATAAAAAAATACTAGCAGAGGATGTTCATAATGGGGAAGCTGGGCAAGTTTGGGGATGGGAGGTGTATGGGAGATCTATACCTTCCACTCAACTTTACTGTGAACCTAAAACTGCTCTAAAAACTAAGCGCTTTTTTAAGTAAGTACCGTAAAAAGTAAGTGCCGTAATTTTTGGACTATAAGACACACCTAGGTTTTAGAGGAGAAAATAGGGGAAAATTTTTGAAGCAAAAAATGTGGTAAAATATTTATAACTTATGACCCTGCTCCACTGCCGCCCTCCACACCCCCCCCACAGCGAGCCAGGTAAGCTACATTCAGACTATAAGATACACACCCCCTTTTCTCCCAAATGTGGGAGTGTGTCTTATAGTCCGAAAAATGCAGGTAAGTTCTTATATCGTCAAAAGATTATTATTCAAATTTCCCTAATTGTATATTTCTTTTTGTAAATTATTCTTCTTATATCTTTTTAAATTGGGTGTTTTTTCTCTTCTGATTTATGTGCCAAGCTCTTCGTATATTAAGGATATTAACTGCTTGTTATTGATTATTAGTTACTTGTGATATTAATTACTTGCTATCGTTATTCCTCCAGGGAAGGCCATGGAGACTGCAGGATCCTCCTCCCAGACTCAAGACCACAGTCGAGTTCATGGGAATACAGAAGAAACAGACCGTATGTCTGCCTTCTCCGACCCTCTGGGCAAAGCCGTGTGGGAGGTGGAATCTAGCAGTGGGTAGAACCGAAGAAATCGCTGCTTAGCTCATGTGGCACAATGGCTCAAGTCACAGCTGAAACCTGTAGAAAAGAAGTGATTTTACACACATGCACACACATATATGTGCTTGGTCCGGTCTGTCCTCTAGCACTTTCTGGCTGTGGGAACCCTTAGTTGCTCCCCAAATCTCTGAGTCTCTGCAGGCTTGGACCATCACTAGGGAGGGGCCCCAGAAGGTGAGGAGGGTCCCGTGTAGTGCTGTAATAGGAGATAGGAAGGTTTAGGGCTTAATCTGATCCTACCTCCCCTAAAATTTACAGAGAATTCTAAGTTGGCAACTACTTATTCAGTCTGGTGGCCTTGGGGCAGGACAGGGACCTTAAAAGCCCCTCTCTGAGTTCTGTATTCAGAGAAATTTCTGCCTTGGGCCTGCCTAGAGCCAGGGTCTTCTTGAGAGGTTTGGAAAGAGTATCCTGGAGAAACCAGCCCCTCCTGGCTCCCCAAGTCCAGACAGACCTCTGAGGAGGCCTTGGTGGTCTCTGGGGTGGGAAGGGGGGGAAGCACTCATCCTTGTCCCTGTGTTCCTCCCAGATGGAGAGACAGATTTCCACAAGCAAGATGGGGAGGCCGGAACCTTTTCTCAAAAACAACATAAGAGAGACAAGTCTTCCTCCTCCTCTTCCTCCTCTTCCTCTTCCTCCTCATCATCTTCCTCTGCCTCAGGTATAGCAAAGATTTAAATATACATGTATATATAATCTTATATTATCCAGGAAAATCTTTACATGGGAAAACCATTCCCCATAATCTCTCACCTTCATACTTCAGCTCTGTTTTTCCTTATACCCTTCCAGGGCCCATCTATCTGTACGCATAACATATACACAGTTATAACTAACCATGTAGACAATTTTGTCCACGGTTTAAAAGCTTTTGTTCTCTTCTCCACATTTGGCCCTGTTATTTTATAATATCTTTCCAACTACTCTTCATGCCTTCTGAATAACCCCTCAAGGGGCTGCATCTCATGTGAAGTGACAAGGTTTCCCGGGTGCTCTGGTGCCAGAGTCAGTATGTCTGTCCGTTCAAGCAGCCTGCCGGGGTTCAAATGCTTCCTTCACCACTAACTAGCTATGTGTCCCTGGGTAAATTGCTCAACCCTGTAGGCCTTGAGGTCCTAATTTCTCCGATGGGGATGGTAACAAAAGTTGTCACCTCATAGGACTCTCGAGGGGATAACACGTGTAAAGTCTCAGCACCCAGCACACAGTAAAAACTCAAAAGAGATATGTTACAGTTAAGATCCAGCCCCGCCTCACCACATGAGTTTATCACACTCATGAGCATCCTTGCCCCAAAGCTTTTTAAATTCTTCATACAAATCACGTCCTAAGTGTTGTTTTCTCACCAGTACTTCAGTGGGTTTAGAGGAAGGAGCATCTCTGTTTGGGTCTCGATTACAAATTTCCACATTATTCTCTAATAAACAGCAGAGTATTCTCTCACTTTTATTCTTTTGATTCAAAATGTACAGCTGACTTTATAGCAGCACCAGCAGCAGCAGCAGCAACATCATAGCCAGAATGTATTGAGGACTGACTATGGGCCAGTTACTGTTCCAAGCACCATAATAACTCAATTAATTCTCGCAGCAACCCATTGAGGAGGAAAATATTATTGTGATCATTTTACAGGTGAGGAAACTGAGGCACAGAGGTTAACTGACCTGCTGGGACAGGGCTCAGCAACCAACCTGGGATTCCCCGGAGGTCTTTCTGGGACTGGGGCACCTAACCGCTCCTCAACCAGAGCTCCTGATCTGTCATACACAGTGGGCCTGGCTCTGAGGTTTTATTTGATGAAAGTGATCTTAGGCCAAATTTTTAAGATGCTTGCGAAGCCCTGGTTCCCTAGCATCATGTCCTCATGTTGCAAATGATGAGATTTAGACTCAAGGCCACAAAAATCCATGCTTATTTCAGCAGACAGGAGAGAGAGAGTGGTTAGTGTGTCCACTGAGTCTGTGTGTAGCCAGTGTCCATATGGGCAAAGGAAACCACTGCCCTTATTAAAAAGCAGACAGACCCGCCCACTGTGAGGCTGAAGGGCCTCTGGGGGAAGAAGGGCCTCCAGGTGCAGGGGGACTCAGTCCTTTTGTTTCTCCTCCATGGTGGGAGGGTATATTCTGTCTTCTGTTTCTGGTTGACCCTTAGGGGGTGCTGCTCCCGCACTAATGTTGTCCCCTAAGAGTTGGCATAAAGCACTTCCCTCTTGTCGCCACAGCACACATGGGATTGGCTGTGGTTAGCAAAACTGAACACCAAGTGAAAGCAACAGGAAAATAAACACAGAAGCGTAGAGACAGACTGATATTCAGAACCCTGTTGTCTGATCCACAATGACTGGCCTATTGCTGGAACTGCGCATTCTTTAGGCTCAGATGGTGACCTCAGGGCCCCAAGCCCGGGCGTCTCACTGCAGCCCCCAGTCTTCCTCCACATGTGGGACCCTAACTCATAGTCCAGTAGTCGGCACTGCTCTTCCTACACCTTCTTGTTCTTAATGTGTACTATTATTATTATTATTATTATTATTATTATTTAAACATCAGTGTGTGGTTGCCTCTCACATGACCCCCACTGGGGACCCAGCCTGCAACCCAGGCATGTGCCCTGATTGGGAATCCAACCGGCAACCCCTTAGTTCACAGCCTGCACTCAATCCACTGAGCTACACCAGCCAGGGCTATACCCTATTATTTTTAATTAAAACATTTTATTGTGAGAGATTACTCATAGGCACATTGTATAAAATGTGGAACATATAAAGAACTAGAAAGAAGAAAAATCATCCTTTGCCCTGTCACCCAGAGATAACCACCAAACATGTATTAGTATGTTTCCCCCGGACCGCACTCCTCACAGAAGCTGAACTCTGAGAACTAACAACAGAACGAGTGTGCCCCAGGTTTGTTTCAAGGCTGAGGTTCTCTTACAGTGTGTGTCTGTTCCCTGCAGAGAGCGGTGATGAGGACCAGCACCGCAGGGAGATCAGAAAACGTCGGCAGAGCCAGGGGGATAGACACCCCCACAGGGGCAGCTCACCCGGTAGGCAACAGGCCTCGCCATTTCCTCTTTGCCCCGTTGGCTCACTGGGACTGAACATATCTGTGTGAAGATGTTCCTCGCAGCATTGTTTATAGTAAGACAACAATGGGAAACAACCCAATGTCCGACAACTGCAGAATAGGTCAGGGATGCTGCACCCTGTCCTGGTTAGAGCTCTATTCTTCATATCTCTCTGCAGTGAAAAAAGGAAGATGTCAAATCATGTCATCAGTATGATTTCATATTCAGTTTGTAAAAATTGACACATACATGGCTAATAAGACTGGAAGGAAAAGTATCCAAATGTTAATAATGGTTCTCTCTGGATAGTTAAATTGTGGGTGATTTTTACTTCCTCTCTTTTGAACTATCCTACGCTATGAATATTTTGCAATGAGCATGTTTTATTTTTAACAAGAAGAACATTTTGGAAAAAATAAAAGGTAAATTTCAGGCCTAATGGATCATGGGAAGAAAAGAACCTGAATTAATGCCTAATACATATCCTGGCATGAGGTGTTTAATAAACAAAATGCTGCCCATGAAGCTGGAGTTGAGTGCTGGGTTCTTTTTCTGGAAATAAAAATGATTACAGTTGCAGGCTCTCATGACGACCTGGGTTTGAACCTGAACTTACTGACTATGTGAATTTCAGGAAATAACTCTGTGAGCTTCAGTTTCCTTATCTGTAAAATGGGGGAGGGAGAGAGACTAATACCTCCTTCATCAGATTTCCATGAAGAGCAAATGAAATATTAAAGTACTTCATACAGTGTTGGTACATAGCAAGTGCTCAATAAATGGCAACTGTTATTATTGTCTTTGAATGAGGCCCAGGCCCTCTCAGACCCCCAATTCATTCTTAGTAAACTTAGCAGTCACCACTAGGTGTGCTAGGGTCTGACCAAGTAAAGGGAAAGCACTTGGAAGGCTGTCTGGACTCTCGAAGACCACACAGCTCATCTCTAGCACAAGACCTGGGTGGCTTCTTACAGCTTTAGGCAGGCGCGAGGTGGAAGCTGCCCTGGGGTGCTGCTCCTGGGGAGAGAACTGACTAATGGGGTTTGTCTCCACCAGATGCTGAGCATGGTGAGCCTGACATTTCACTGAATGAGCTTCAACTCTATGGAGGTAACTGATTGTCCAGTGATTTAGCAGAAAACAGAATTAAACAAAGGACATGAGGGCCCAGGGGTTTGTTGGGCAGAAACAAGATCATAAATGTGTTTCATGAGCTGAAAAGTTGTGGGCAGATATAGGAAATGTGACAAAGTGAGCAGCTATAGCTTTGGCAGATGGGGATGGGGCAAGCATTTTGCACCATGGTGACGAAACTGTCCTGGGTTCTCTTCTGAACTATAATCTTAACTTGACCAGTTCCCCAAATTTTCTTGCTTCCCAACCAGCAAGATGAGATATGATCAGTATCCACTTTCTTGGAATGCTGGGCTGTTAAAGTCTATAAGAGAAAATTAAGGATCTGATCTCTACAAAACTCATGTTATGGAATGATTATCTCCAAGCATTGTGATTATTACAGCAAGGTCTAAATATTATGACCTTTTATTTTGTAGCACTCTAATAACATGAGAGAATTTGTGGGAATGAACATGTTTACAAAAAAGCCTGACTAATACTACACAATGGCCAAATAAGAAAACCTATTTAACTTTGTTTACTCCAACATTTCTATAATCTAATCTACTTATTCTCCTAACTCCTGATAAGGACCCAAGAAAAGCATCAGGAAACACTTATTTTTTACTTTCAAGATATGTGTTTTTAATTGAGGTATAATTATATATATATTTAAAGAAATGTAAATGAAACATTTTGATGTTCTGCATCAAGATATTAGCAATGGCTGCTTCTGGGTGGTAGCACTGTGGGTAATCTTTATGCTGTTTATTTGCTTATTTGAATTTTTTGATTTTTCCTTTTCTTTTTGTTATAAAAACAAGTATTATTTTGTTTAGAAAAATACTTTTAATCACTCAAGTATAAAAGAAAGATTTCACTGGGTGTGAACTGTGAGAAACTGAGGTTTACAAATATTTTTAAGTATTTTTTTAAAAAGGTTTTCTTATTTATCTTTAACGAGTGGGGAAGGGAGTGAGAGAAACATCAATGTATGGTTGCCTGTCATGTGGCCCCTACTGAGGGCCTGGCCTGCAACCCAGGCATGTGCCCTGACTGGGAATCAAACCAGTGATCCTTTGGTTCACAAGCCAGCGCTCAATCCACTGAGCCACAGCAGCCAAGGTTAAAATATTTTTCCTTGTCATAAAAGTAATTCATATTTGCTATAGATAATTAGATATTGTCCCATATTTGTGAATTATTTTCTCCCCCCATTCCTACCACAAGGCATTGGAGGTTCTTATTAAACGATACTGTCGGAGCCTCATTTCATGACATCCTTGGTATCTTCTCTGTACCCTTGGGACTGGTCACTCTTTAGTTACTTACAGATGGTGTTTCCATTTGTATGTTAGCACTAATGGACAGTTGAGCATGCTGACTATTTACTGCCATGTGCCAAATTCCCCCTCTGGTGTCTGTGTTCTGGGGCTGCTCTAAAAGACAGAAAGTACGCAGGAGTAGGGGCTCCTGGTGGTGGTGGCGGTGGTGGCAGTGGGTGCGGTTACAAGGGGTCCTATCTGCCCTTGAGGGGAAGAGGCGATGAGCTAGGTTTCACCAGAAACTAGAATAGGAACCAAGAATCAGATGTCGAATGGGGTAGGAAGGCCATCCTAGACCAGATTAATGGTGAGGCTGCAACTCAGGGCTCAACTCACCCGCACAAGAGGCTTGACACTCAGGGTTGGGGGCTGGGGCTCCCACGTGGAACCCAGAGCGGCTCCCAGGAGTCCAGGACCTGGCGGGGCTAGGGCCGTGTGGCTAGGTGTGAACGCCTGCATCTAGACGGTAATGAACAGGCCCGGGCTGCAGATGGTGACCCGTGTGTGGCCAGGAGTGTTTTATCTGGCTCACAGAGTGATTTTAAAAACTATTATCAATACATTTCATCACTTCTACAACTAACGCTTTTTCACATTTGGACATGTTTGAAATCAGAGTGCATTATAAAATCACTGGCAACTTACAATGGTAATTGGCAATGGTTTTCCTTCCATAGTAACATATAAAATAATAGCACGTCACACAAACTCTCTGAATCACTCAAATGCAAAGAGTTGCCAACCTTTTTTATAATTAAGAAGTTTATGTAACCCTGGGTGGTATGGCTCAGTGGATTGAGCGCCAGCCTGCGAACTGAAAGGTCACCCGCTCAATTCCCAGTCAGGGCACATGCCCTGGTTATAAGTGAGGTCCCCGGTGGGCGGCATGTAAAAGCCAACTGATCAATGTTTGTCTCACACAGTATTGTTTCTCTCCCTCCCTTTCTCCCTCCCTTCCTCCCTCCCTTCCCCTTTCTCTAAAAGTAAATACATAAAACATTTACAATAAAAAAAGTTTATGTAAAAACCCGGATTTCCGGTTTCAGGGAAATTGGAAGACCTGCAGCAATGGGCAGGCATTCATTCCTTCAAGTGGCTTTAGTGGCTGGTGGATGGCAACTGTCCCTTTAGATGGAATTAGGAACCCTCTAGCTTGCTCCAGCCCCCACTCGGCCGGCCGACTCAGAGCAAATGGAAATCTCTGAGTGAGATCCACCTTCTCTGAAGTGTAATTTCTCCTCACCCAGAGGTTAATGGGTCAGTGACCTCTGATTTTCCTTCTGTGCAGGTGCCCCTGGGGAGATGGTGCCCTCTGGAGAATCAGGTGAGTGCCCAGTTTGGGGAGAGTGTTTGTGCTGGTGTTGGATGAGGTCTGGGCATCGTCTTTCCTCCAAGAGCCAGCTGTTATCAGGGTTCATGGCTGTCAGACAGGGACTCCAAGTCCACTTGGGGGCCTGGGGCTCTGACCTGGGCTCAACAAGGAGGCAGGGCTGTCTGTGGCATGAGGCAGGGCGCTGGTGATTAGAAATGGGGTCCAGGAAAGAGGCAAAGGGATTATAGCCACTGTGGATAGATAGAGTTCCTGGGGGTGGGACAATTTGATAGGAGCATTTTCACAGGTCACCTATGGCCTCCCTCTCAGCGTGGAGGCAGCCGTTAAGGACCCAAGCTGGCCAGGGGCACTAATGCTGAGTTTCTATTTTTAGGACTCCGAAGGAGAGGCTCAGACCCAGCACCTGGTAAGTACTCAAGCTCCGAGAGGAGAGCAGGAGGTGTCCTGCCTTCAAGGGTGTGGGAGGGATCACAGCCATTCTGGAAGGGTGGGTCAGTCCCAGCAGTGTCACCCTGATTCAGGAAGAAGACTTCCAAGCTCAGGGGAAATGGAACAGATTCGGGCCTGTGGAGGGAGGAGGGGCCCGTGGGGGTCCCAAGGACAGCCATCCCCACTGTCACAGCTTTGCCCGGATAGGTCCTGCAGGGCATGTCCTCTGACTCCAGAAATAGAACCAGGAGGGCCATTGTCAGTGAGGCAGGGAAGAGGAAATCCCACCTGCCGTCCTGCGTCAAAGTTAAACACTAATTTCTTGTTCCTAAGGAGAAATGGAGGCCTCTCAGTTAAGAAGACTGAATATAAAGAAAGATGGTAAGGAAACGGGTGTTCCAGAGCAGCTTCCACCTGTCTGGTCCAGATTCCTACGGGGAGAAAGTCAGCTGATGGCCTAGAACAACAGTAATCACAGCCCGTTCCTGTTGTGTGACTGGCAGCTTAAAATCACCTTGAGAAGGTAGTACAATGATTCCCATTCTGCAGACGTGGAAAGTGAGGCTCAAGGATGGGGAGTGGTCTTACAACTAGTGAGTGGCATGACTCGGGCTTGAACCCTGGTCTTTTTTTTTTATTTAATTATTATTCAAGTGCAGTTTTCTGTTTTTCATTCTCATCCCCCCCAAGTGCTCCCCACCTCCCTCCCATTTCCACCCCCCTTAGTTGTTGTCCATGCGTCCTTTATACTAGTTCTGGATGAACCCTGGTCTTAAGCTCTTTCTGCCGTAATGGAGTCACTAGGATGATCAGTGACCTCCAGGCCGGATGGCCGGGAAGAGGAACCAGAAATGGCTGGGCTGAGAAAGCCCTGAGGTTGGGTTAGATTAGACTCTAGAGAAGGGGTGATGAGAACCAGAGGGACCTCCTCCACACCAGGCCTGAAATTTGGGGGCTGTATGGAGGAGTATAAGGGGGTGGAGACCATGATTTTTGATGAAATAAATGGCAGTTGTTCTAGAACCATTTTGAGGTGTTGCAAAAGCCCACCTCTATGGAGAAAAGACCTGGGTCTGTGCCCCCGGCTCTGCCTCAGTCCAGCTGTTTAATTTTCCTGGGCTAGAAAAATGAGCCTTGTCAAACTAAAACCGAGATTCCCAAAGAACAGACCGTATCTGAGTTGCTTCAGGACATGGCATTATACCCCAAAGTAAGGTAAGTCCCATTTCCACTCTCTTTCTTAGAACATGGTCACGGTTCGGGGACTGCATGCCTTCAGTCCTTTCCTGACCCCCATTCATTGTCCTTCAGACACAGAGAGGAGTGTCTCCTCATGTGCAGAACCTTCTGCAGGCAGCTGGCAGGCTAACGCTTCAGCGTCTTGCTGTGTGTGTGTGTGTGTCTACAGTCAGCAAAATCTGGCAGTTGGGGCACTTTGAACTGTCTGATCTACAAAATACAAAGAACTACTGTTCTACAAAATAAAGTATTACCACTTGCCTTATGCTTATTTTAACATTTTTGATGAAATAATAACTATAGCTTTTATCAATGAAAAATAGTGCTGTTTTGCTATTTTCTTTAGAGGAGCAGAATTTTAAGTATGCTTGGTAACATTTGCGTCTAATTTTAAGATGCCTTTCTGACTTTCTGAATGAAATTTAGGTGTTCATTTCTTAGAACTGACATGCAACATTATATTAGTGTTAAACGTACAACGTCATGATTTCATATTTGTATACATTGTGATGTGATCACTACAATGAGCCTAGTTAACATCTGTTACCATTTAGTAACAGAATTGTGTGTGTGTGAGAGAACTTTTTTATTGTATTTTTTCCATTACCATTTAGTCCCCTTGTGCCTCCTCCCCACCACAATCACCGCACTGTTGTCCATGAGTCCTTTTTCCTTTTTGTTCAATCCCTCCGCCCCTCACTTTCCCCTACCTTAGCTGACATCTTGCTCTGTATCTATGAGTCTGTTTCTATTTTGCTTCTGAGCTCAGTTTGTTCACTAGATTCCACATATGGGTGAAATCATATGGTACTTGTCTTTCTCCGACTGGCTTATTTCACTTAGTGTAATGTTCTTCAGGCCCATCCACATTGTTGCAAAGGGTAAATTTTTTTTTTAATGGCTGAGTAGTGTTCTGCTGTGTAAACGTCTCATAGTTGTTTTATCCACTCATCTACTGATGGATGCTCGGGCTGCTTCCATACCTTGACAATTGAGATCTTTTCATTAAGTCAGGGAAATCCTAGTTTTTCATTTACTGTCAGAACTAGTTTTCCTCTTAATGAAAATTGATTTAAGGAAAAAAACAGAAAAATCTTTTTTTCAAGGATTTTATTTCTTTTTAGAGAGAGTGGAAGGGATGGAGAATGAGAGGGAGAGAAATGTCAATGTGCAAGATACATTGATTGGTCGCCTCTCAGATGCCCCCAACTGGGGACCTGGCCCAAAACCAGGCATGTGCCCTGACTGGGAATTCAGCAGGTGACCTTTCAGGTCACAGGCCAGAGCTCAGTTACTGAGCCATACCAGCCAGGGCTAAAGAAAAATCTTAAGTAAATATTAGTCCAGATGGTCCTTGGATTAACATGAAATTGTGAAGATGGTAAGCAGTTGTATATAGAAAGAGAAAAAACAACAGAAAGTGGTGTGCGAATGGCTAACATTTGAGAAAAAAAGAATGATCCTTTAGGTCCCTCTGGGCTCAGATATAACCCCAGAGTCCTTCTCCCGGCCTGACCTCTTCGGGTCTAAAACGCCTGGTCTCCAACAGTCTGTGCTCACTTGGTTGAACCAGCCCTTCGCTACACTGGGTCTGTGCCTTGGTCCCACTTCTCCCCCTCGTCTCATTTATGCCTCCCAAATAGCATGTACATGTACACACAAGTGCATGTCCTCCCCTCTCATTCACGTCCCATGTCTTGACAATCTTTAAGGTTCCGCTCAAATTATTATTCCTCCATGAAGCTCTCCTGGACTTCCCCAGCTCCAGTCGTCATGACCCCTGAATTTTTATGACATTTTAACAGCTGCATAATATTCCACAGTAGGGGTACATTATGGTGTACTTAGTATTCTCCACTTGATAGCCCTTTAGGCTGTTTCTGATCTTTTTTGCTTTTTCAGAGCAAGCCCTCATACCTATCCAGTCCTCAATTTCATCTTGCATTTTGTGGATCTCTCTTTCTTTCTCTCGCTCTCTCTTTCTCAAACACTTGTATTTTCTAAATATTCTTAAGAAAACTAAAAATAAGATTCAGGAAGAACTTCTGTGTTAAGAACTCACTTTGTGTTCCTGAAAGCCTGGGTGAGGAAGAGAGGAGAAAATAGTTCTATAATCCACCTCACCCCAGGCTTTCACATCTCTGAAGAGACCTAAACTTGTTGATTTCTTAAACCTTGTGGTCGTTTCTGCATGCACTTTTTTGTTCCTAAAGGGTAAACTTATTTTGGAGCCAGGAATGTCATAGAAATACTCATTTTAATTTTCTCCCATGGAAAAACAAAAACAAAACCAGTAATACCCTTCTCCCCTTCTGTTCATTTGCTTTCAAAATGCCCCTTGCCAGCAGTGATCTGAAGCGTCACACTGCCTTTGACCATTTTTCCAGTCAGGATGCCCCTCCATCTTCTCAGTGGCACAGAGGTTTCTCTCCTCGATGTATCCGTGAGAACACTGAAGCTCAGAGGGGTCGGGACACTTGTCCAAAGCTTCGCAGCACATCAGTGGCTGAACTGGACCAAACTGACACACATTTCTGGCAGCCTCAACACCCATTCAGGAAGCCTATGTCATTCCTGGAAACTGTTTCTGAATTGTCTTCTCTTTTTCCTTTTTCCTTCATCTTGAAATCTTTGCATCTCTTCTAATCACAGCCCCTTGACTGTGTCGAAGCCCTTGTGTTCTCTCCCTTGATGACTACAGTGCCTCGAAAACTACAGGGGACCTCTTTCACAGACCAGCCCTGAATTCCTGTTCTAGGCACAAGCCCTGCCTCTCAGCTCCTCTCTGTTAACTACATTCTGTTACAAATATTTCCAGCCTGCAATTCCATTTCTGGGCACTGGGCCCACAGAATGCAAAGGTTCATGTGTAGTGATGTTTGATATATCAGTGGTAACAGTGAGCATCTGACATCAATAAATTCATTAGTGGGGGATTAAATAAACTAGGGTAACCTTATACCATAGAACACTATACAGCCATCAAAAAGAACATGGCAGATCTATATATGTTCTGAAATGAAAAGATGGCCCTGATTTATCAATGAGAGGAAAAAAGCAAATTATAGAGCAGCAGCTATACAAATTGGTCCTGCTTTTATTTTTTAAAATATGAATGTACAGCCCTGACCAGTGTGGCTCAGTTGGTTGGGCATTGCCCTGCAAGGCAAAAAGTTGCCAGTTTGATTCCTGGTCAGGGCACATGCCTGGGCAGTAGATTTGGTTCCTGGTCAAGGCGCATACAAGAGGAGACCGATCAGTATTTCTCTTTCACATTGATGTTTTTCTCCTTCTCTTCCCCTCTCTCGAAAAATAAATAAATAAAATCTTGTGCATGTACACACATGTGCCTGGAAAGGTTGTGCCAATAACCACTCGACCTGAAGGAGTGGGGTGAGGGAAGGAAAATGGGGCAAGGTGGAACTTTTAAACTTGACACGTTTGCATTTTTTATAGCTGAATTTAACACTCATTCCCCAAATAAAGTATTGGCAGCTCTGCATGCGTGGCACTGCTTTAGTCAACAGGCAAAATCTCCACCCACTATCCTACTAAGGGGGACAGAGAATAAACACAGAAATAAAAATATAACCAGTTGAGTGGTGATAAGTGTTAGAAAAACAATAAAGTTAGATAAAGGCTGGAAAGGGTGGGGTTTGGAGTGCTGTTTTAGTTGAGCTGGTCAGAAGCATCTCTGAATAAAAGTTATGTTTCAGCAGACACAGGAATATTTTTAGTAATTAAAAAAAGAGGGGGAAAGAAGCGAATAGCAAATTCCCCACCTCCTCTGCCTTTACAGATGAGTTTTTCCACTTCGTCCTCCTCTGCTTTGCAATTGGGGCCTTGCTGGTGTGTTATCACTATTACGCAGGTGCGTTGGGGGCTGTGGAAATGGGGGAGGGGGGTGGAGTCCAGACCTGCAGCCTAACCATGCTCCTCCTGGCTGCCCTTGCAGACTGGTTCATGTCCCTTGGAGTTGGCCTTCTCACCTTTGCCTCCCTGGAGACCATTGGCATCTACTTCGGTCTAGGTAAGCGCCCCCTGCCCCCCACCCAGACTCTTAGAGGGTGGTGGCCGAACCAGCCCAGACGCCTGCCAAGGGCCAAAAAGCCACAACCTAAACACTTTCAAGATTTCCTCATGCTCATGTTTTCTTCCTGACCACTTTCAAGGTCAATGCGAGGTCGTTAGCTAAACTCTGTGGAAAAAAATGGGCAGCTCTGTAAAAATGCAACAAAAACAGTTGAAAGTGGCAAATAAACAGAATTAGGTAGACATTGAAAACAAGTTAGTTAATGGGGTTGGGCACTGCAATCTCTGTTTCCTGGCACTGTTATTGCTGTTCGTGGCTGCTGTTTTTAATAAATCTAGTACTATTATCTAAGCTTAACCTACTGCCTGAAATTCCACCATTAGAACCTTGTTTGTGTGGGTTAAGCTTTGGTCCAAGTGTGGGTGAGAGGAGGCCTGACCCCAGATCCCCAGAGGATGCACGAAGTTTTCACCTTCTCTTTTGTCTGGGCAGTGTACCGGATCCACAGCGTCCTGGGAGGCTTCATCCCCCTCTTCCAGAAGCTCAGGCTGATGGGTAACTTTTACATTCTTCCTATGTTTGCTTTCTCCTCCTGATCAGGGGTTTCTGTTGCTAACAAGGCCTAGCAAATAAGAAAGAGCACACAGCCTGAAGTCGAGGCTTGGGTTCAAATACTGCCTGTTCCAATTTACCAGCTCTGGGGCCCTGGAGCCTCTTAGCCTCGATTTTCTTGACTAAAAAATGGGTGTAATAACACCTACCACACAAAGGTGCTGTGAAAAATCACTTGAGGAATGGATGCAAAAGTCCCCGAGTGAGAAACACTGTAGAAAAGTAAAGGAATCTGGGTGTTTTGTTGTAGAATTTCCCATTTCCCAAACTCTATCTTCTTCATGATTTTATTTGCCTGATAACAAGTGGGAGTGCTTTACTTATCTTGCACTGTCTGAGGAAACTGAGGTTCAGAGAGGTAGAGTGACTTGCCCAGGTCACACAGCTAGAGTGGCTGGGCTGAGCTAAAGGAGATCCAGTTTTATAACCAGCAGCTCCCTGACTACCATTAAGTCTCAAAACTGAAAGGCTGTGTGTCTCTGGGCTGAAGATCTCCTTTAAGTCATTTAATTCATAGAGGGGAGATTAGTTGCAATGGCTGAGGATTACTGAGACCTGTGGCTTCTGGGGTGACTACATTATTCCAGCTGTGAGGGCTATTTAGGCATCTGGGGTGATGGTGGGAGTGAGGCCTGTCTGCCTTCAGAATTCCATGCCATCCGGTGGGCTTTTCCTTCCAGGGTTCAGGAAGACGAACTGAGGCCAGTGCCAGGAGGGCCGCCAAGCCAGGCCCCACTGTGACCACCATGGCATCCCCTGAGCACCGAGTGACATTCTGGGAAGCACGTGGACAGGCCGAGCTAGAGCAATAAAGAGAGCACTTTTCATGCCATGTGGTCTGAACATTGGCACCGGGCCTGGCAGAGGTACCATTTGGGCAGCCTTGGCATGCATTCCAGCTGCCAGGATGGAGGCAGAGCGAGGGTGCGGGCACTGAGCCCTTCGTGGTGCCTGCATCAGTGGGAAGACTCAGACATCACTGCTCTCAGGAAGCAGTAGGAGAGCCCTGGGCCCTGTAGGCTGTGATCTGTCTGGCCTCCTGGTTTCTCTCAAGTCCCCAGGCTATCCCATGTTCTCTCAGTTCCTACAGAGCCATCCCAGGACACATAGTCCACTGCCCTGAGACAGGGAAGCACCATGTCAGGTCCCCTGGGTGAACCTGATGTGGCTCAGATGCGGGGACTCAAGCCACAGCATCTGGGCTCTGTCGCCTAGTGCCAGCCCTGCAGCCCTGAACTCCTTCCAACGTTCAAATAAACATTTTCTTCCTTGGACTGAAGAGGAGTCCGTGAACTATTTCTTTATGTTTCTTGAGTGCAAGAATACATTTGGGGTCTTCTTTGATTCCATTTATCAGGGAGGGCACCTTGTCCTATTGAGTAAAGTATAAAAGGGAATAAACATAAAGTAAAGCCTCTCATTTTAGGTGCAAGACTTCAATTGCACAGATTTGGAATGAGAGACAGGGTTTTGCAAACATTTTTATGAAAAAGATCTGGATGCTTTTTGATACTCTCAGCTCAGCAAATACCTTAGAAGTGAGATAAGAGCCCAAAACAAAGTCCATTGTAAATTTTGGTTGAATAAATGGAGGTAGAGAGTCTAGATTGAAGGAGGTGTAGTAGGTCCTACTTTACACTGCCAGGCCAAAATCGTGTGTTTAGTTCTGGACTCCTAGATTAAGAAAAACAGTGGCAAACTGAGAACACACAGAAGAGACCAGAGTGGAAATATAAAGAATGATCGAAGGAACAAGAACTCTCCAACTTGCAGAAGACAACAGTGGGAGTCTCCATGTAGCTCATACACTCTGGAGGACACGTTTTCAGGTGGTTGTGATGGTTCAAATACAGTCACATACGTTTTCTCACAGCAGCCTTGAGACATCTGAATCATCCCCATTTTGCAGATGGAAAAAACAGAGACTCATAACTTGCTCAAGTTTGCACAGGAAATAAGTATCAGAGCTGCAAGTTTTCCAGGTGATTCCCAGAGCCTGGGATTCTCAGAGGTACAGAATGTTTTTTAAAGTGAGAGAGGGAGGGCTGCCAGCTCTTTACCTTGCCCATTAAGGCCAATAAAAACGACAAAAACCATCAGCTATCAGCATTTTATAAAAGAAAGGACACTTCTGTATTTTAAAAAAGGCAGGAAAATGATCATCAGAAGCAAAATGGGATTTGAAATGGATGAACTAAGCTTTATGAAATCTAACTGTGCACCCTTCTTCTTCGGATCACTACGGTCTGGTGAAAAAATTGTCTTTCAGAAACCATGAGACTAGAGAATCTACATTCTCTTGTTTCTGGAGTTTTCCAGCTCAGCTCCCACACCTCAAGTGACGAAAGCCTCACTACCTCCCAAAGCAACTCCTACTGCAAGGATTTTTTACTCTTGTTCTGAGATAGCTCTGTCACTGACTTAGGGCATCCTTTCTGAAGGCTAATTCCCTACCTTAGGGGATGTTCTAGGGAGTCATGGCTGCGCCGTCCCAACTCAGCGCTGGGCTTGGCCCCGGTGTCCGTGCCTGTGGCACAGCTCCCCCGTTGTGTTCCTCTTCTTCAAGATTGTTTTGGCTGTTCTGGATCCCTTGCATTTTCATACAAGTTTTAGGATCCATTTGTCAACTTCTGTGAAGGAGCTCATGGGAATGCTGATGGGATTGCATCTTTTACATACTTGTTAGAAAAAAAAATTGCCCCAAATCGCAGCACCCCGCATCAACCACAGATAATATTTTGGTTGTTTTCTGTGAGTCTTTTTAGTGTGTGTGAGTTCATTTATTTTTATTTTGGGCCCTTTTTACTTTCATGTAGAATAAGCATTTTTCCATTACTGCATACTCTCCATAAGCACATAAGCACCACTTCCAGCTGCTCTACATTTCATGCTTTACTTAATAATCCTTCTATATTTAGGTAATAATATTGATCACTGATATTTGCTCAGTACTTCTCACATGCTGGGTGTGGAGTTGAGCACTTTGCACACGTCATGTCATCTAACCCTCACCAAAACCCTGTGAGGCGGCATCTGTCATGGTCCCCATTTTACGGAGGAGAGAACTAAGGCAGGGAATGTTGGTTTCTGAGGTTTTGATGTCAAGTGACTGTGTATAACTTACTATCTTCTGAAGGGAGCCTGGAGTGCACGGATCAGATATTTATCAAATGTATAAATAGCATGCAAAGGTTCATGATAGAAGTATGAACATGCTGGCCCCGGCCCATTAGCTCGGTTGGAGCATTGTCCCGATGCACCAAGGTTGTGGGTGCGATCCCCTGTCGGGGCACATACAGGGGTCAACCAGTGAGTGCGTTGGTGTGTGGAACAGTAGACCAATGTTTCTCTCTCTTTCTTCTCTCTCTCTAAAATCAATAAATAATTTTTTTAAAAAGCAATATGAACTTGCTGACTTAAGGATGGTGTGGTTAGCCTCCCCTCTCCCAGCCTCGGTTTCTCAATCTATACAGTGGGGATCACAGCAGTGCCCACCTCACAGTGCTGTGGAGAGGATTCCATGAGGTAATTTGAGTCTTATATGCAGTCTCTGGCACATAGTAGACACTCAGTAAGCAAGAGTTACTTGATTAAAGCTGGGGCATGCATAAGGTACCTTACAGTCAGCTAGGTAAAATCAGCCAGATGTAAATAACAGGCACGTGTAAATGTGAGTCGAGGGGACCAGCATGACTCACATCTGAGCAAGGTGGCAGCTGCTATCCAGTGTTCCAGGCAGGAACACCAGCTGAGTGGTACCAACCAGAGGCCAGCCAGGAAAACAGAGCCTCATCAGGTATTTAATGGAAAAAATCTAACATGGAGGGGTATATTAGGTACAGGAAGGCTGAAAAGGTAGAAGGGAACCCCTGGGGAGTCATAGAGCCTCAGGGAGGGGAGCAGGGACTGCCTAGGGAGACAAAGGAAAGAAGTCAGAACCAAGAAGAAGGCCCTCCAGAGCTGGGACCCTGAATTCTGAGGTGGGGGTGCTGCCTGCAGGTGCTGGAATCTTGAGGGGGGTGCTGGTGAGGCTGGTGCTGGGTGTGCAGGACCTGTGGCATCAGACCTTAAATTTCTCAAATGAAGTACAGAACCCAGATTTTTTAATGTTGGCTACTAATTTCTTAAAAATTAAAAATCTGCTTTGGGAAACAGTATAATGGGTCCTCAAAAAATTAAAAATAGAATTACCATATGATCCAGCAAGTCAACCTCTAGAGAGACTCAAAAGAATTGAAAGCAGGAACTCAGAGAAATGTTTGCACACCTGTGTTCACAGCAACATGATTCACAACAGCCAAAATGTGAGAGCAACCCAAATGTCCATTGATGAATGAATATATAAACGAGATGTAGTCCACACGTACAATTGAATAGTATTCTACCTTAAAAAGACAGAAAATTGCAACACATGCTACTACACAGAGGAACCCAAAGGACATTATGTTAAGTACAATATACCAGTTATAAAATATCAGATACTATATGATTCCACTTAATGAGGGCCCTGGAGTGGTCAGATTCCTAGAGACAGAAAGTAGAATGGCGGTTGCCAGGGAATTGGGAGAGAAGGGAATGGGGAAGTCACGTTAAATGGGTACAAAATTTTAGTTGAAAAAAGATGACAAAGCTCTGAAGATGGATGGCGCCGCTGATTTTACAACAGTGGGAAAACAGTTAAGATGGTATATTCTATGTTATGTGTATTTTACCACAATTTAAAAAATAAATTCAAATTATTTGTAGTCAGCTAAACTGAATCTGGCCTGCAGGCCATCAATGCACAGCATGCACTGGGGGCTCTCTGTGGTGTTAAGTTGAAGATAGAAGCTGAAGGAGACACAGAGAATGGGAGAGAAAGCCAGAGCAAAAATAAATAAGTAAATTTTCAAAAGAAAAGAAAGGACACAATCTGTTCTGTTCTATAGGAGACCATTCTGTGTGGCATAAGCCCAGCTCCCACTCAGAAAGGCCAGTGCAAAGCGAGGTCCAGAACACAGGACCCACGCCCACAGACGGGTTCTCCCATGGGGAATCAGGCCTGCATTGTACCTGCGCCACTTTGAGACTTGCTTTTTGCTAAAACTCCCTCACCCTGAATTGAGGCAGAAAAAGTTTACTGCATATCTTTAAAGTGACTCCCTAAAATCTATGCTAAGCCTTCGAAGGATGAGTGTAACCAGTTCAACCACTTTTCCCTTTGCATTTGCAAATATCCTTCTTCTGCAATATGATTAGCAACATCCTCTCCTTTGTTTTCTGTACAAGGTAACCACCTGAAGTGAATCTGTGCATAGTAAATGAGGACCATCCTTATGTAATGTCCCCAGAAAAGGAATAAAATCCTGTTGAGGCAAGGGTCAGCACGCTCTCCTCTTGAGAGAATGGTCATATCGTCCCTTTTCCTCCACAGGACTTGGTAGTCCGTGTGAATTCGTCTTGTCTCAGCCACAACGCCGTGGACCCTGTGAGCTGGGGTCCGCATCACTGTTCCACTTTCCAGTTTTTAGCAGCCTGATGCATTGTGGGGACACAAGTTCAATCCCACTTTTGCTGCTGGTAACCTTGGCCCCTCTGGGCCCCAATTGTCAAAGAAGGAATTTAGGTGGGTCATGTCATAGAAGCTGCTTGTGTCCTAGGAGAAACCCCACACTCTCCAGATCTCAGCAGAAGGTCTGTCTCCTCATGGGGTCCTGGCCCCAGCACTGCCTTTGGACCCTGTCGCTGCTCCCCTGCTCAGCTAGAGCTCAAGGTCAGTGCCAGCCCAGGGTCAGGTTACATCTCAGACATCAAGTTGGATTCCAGGAGTCTCAATCCAACATGTGCTCTAAAAATAAAGTGTTGGATCCTGAGCCCAGAAAGGCAGGATTGCAAAGTGGAGGAGGGAGGTGGAAAGGGCTTAGATGGGAGTGGGGAAAGGGGGTTTCTGTCTCTGAATCCTCTGGACTCTGTGCCCTGGATTTCTGCTTCAATCACAGTGGAGATTGGATGGAGGTATGACAGTATTTTGAGGCCAAACAAAGCCAGCTTGTGCTGGGAGGAAAGGCAAGAAGCCTGAGAAGATTGTGGGATTTATTTGTCTTGTTCCCCTGACAGAGCCCCAGGAATCCTCTGTCTACTCCAGAGTACCTCGTCCTGGACCAGAGACAGAGCTAGATAGACTATGCTGTTGACTGACCCTGGGAAGCTGGGGAAAGCACTTGACATTGAGGTAGGCTTTGATTGGGGAGATGTAGGGATAGGCTTTCTAGGCAGAGA